CGTTGCTTGAAACTTAGACAATAGAAGAAGAAGGATGAGAGGAAAATTTTTTATTTCCCTCCTCCCCCGCTTCAGTATTCATATATAAGAAAATTTTTACTGTGCAAGAGGAAAACTTCGTTACGAAGTTTTCTTGCACAGTAATATTAATATAATATTAAAATAAGGCATACGTCACATTGAACTTCATCGATGTTATTCAAGATGTACAAATGTGCTTGTAAAACTTCTTCTCGACTCATGTTTCTACCATTAACACCTCGGGTTCCCTTCCCAATTTGTCTTCCATCATGACGAAACGTTGGAATCCCTATAGGACTTACTTCAGAAAGATAATCTGTACAGAACTCAATTGCTTCTTCTGCAATGTATCTTTCAATAATGGATGCTTCAGGCCTTGATGGGTTTTTAACATATCCTTTCAAGATTTTCATATAATGCTCAATTGGATACATCCACCTTAGATACACAGGGCCACATAACTTAATCACTCTAACAATATGAACAATTAAATGCACCATTATGTCAAAAAATGAAGGAGGGAAAAACATCTCCAATTTTCATAATATCAACACAGCTTCAGCTTCTAGGTTATCCAAAGTCTCAAGGTCGAGTACTTTATTACAAACAACATTAAAGAAAAAACACAGATGCATTATAACATGTCTAACCTTCTTTGGCAAAATGTCCCGAATAGCAATTGGTAAAAGATGTTGCATTAATACATGACAGTCATGGGATTTTAATCCAACTAACTTCAAGTCTTTCATTGACACTAGCCGTTTAATATTCGAGCAAAAACCCTAAGGCACTTTGATACCTTTAAGACATTCACAGAGGCTTTTTTTCTCCTCCTTAGACAAAGTATAACAAGCTGGAGGCAAATAAGTCCGCTTACCACGTGAGAGTTCAAGCCATCTTTGGTCTTTCCTTGACTATTCAAGAGGGTTCCAATAAGATTGTCACACACATTCTTTTCTACATGCATAGCATCAATATTGTGCCTTACATCTAAACTAGACCAATAAGGAAGCTCAAAAAATATGGATTTTTTCTTCCATTTTTCCTTTTCATGGGAAACTGTTTGGGTCTTTCCAAACAAACAATGAATGTCTTTCACCTTCGAATACACTTCCTCTCCTGTTTTAGGGTTAGAAGCGATTTGACTCTCTTGAAAGCCATTATAAGCCTTCTTCAACCTCCGATATGGATGATTAACTGGTAGAAATCTTCTATGTCCTAGGTACACTGTCTTCTTCCCATGTTTCAGTTGATGATAACATGTTTCTTCCATACAAATAGGGCATGCATTATGTCCTTTGACACTGTATCCACTTAGATTTCCATAAGCAGGGAAGTCATTTATCGTACAAAAAAGCAAAGCTTGCAATTTAAAGTATTCATTATGATATGCATCAAATACCTCAACACCCTCTTCCCAAAGAAGTTTTAAGTCTTCAATCAAAGGCCGTAAATAAACATCAATGTCATTTCCTGGTTGTTTGGGGCCAGAAATCATCATCGACAACATTACAAACTTGCGTTTCATGCACAATCGAGGAGACAAGTTGTAAATTACTAACAAAACAGGCCATGAACTATGTATACTACTTAAATTGCCATAAAGATTCATCCCATCTGTAGCAAGTGCTAGTCTAAGGTTTCTCCCCTCTTGACCAAATTCTGGAAATATGTCATCAATTTTTTTCCATTGCAGAGAATCAGCTGGATGTCGTATCTTCCCATCACAGTGTCTTTCATCTACATGCCACGTTAATCTCTTTGCATCTTTAGCATTAGCAAATAGCCGCTTAAACCTTGGAATTATTGGAAGATACCACACTACTTTGACAGGGGTTCCTGATGAAATTGTCTTATCACAATTATCTTCTCCATCCTTGACTTTAAACCGTGTTGTACCACAAACAGGACAATTATGCAAAATGCCAAACCCCTTCCTGTACAGGATGCAATCATTACGGCATGCATGTATCTTCTTATACTCCATACCCATCGAACAGATTACTTTCTTTGCTTCATAAGTACGGTTTGGAAGTGTATTCCCTTCTGGAAGCATTTCCATTAATAATTGTAGCAACTCTGTAAAACTTTTATCCGTCCACCCATTTTTGGCCTTTAAGTTAAATAATTTTAACACTGCTGACAACTGTGTGAACTTAGAACATCCTATATACAGAGGCTTCTTACTATCTTCGCATAGTTCTTCGAATACATATCCTTTTTCAAATGGCTCTTCACCGATATCACGTATCAAATCTTCTAGTCGATCATTGGTTTCTTTCTGGATTTCAGTTGTCTCTGAAGCCATTGGGAAATATACTACTTCCCCATGCCAAATCCACTTAGTGTAACTCTTGCAAAATCCATCACAAAGGACATGCTCTCTTATATCCTTCACACTTAGTTGTCTTAAATTTAAGCACTTCACACAAGGACAATAAAAGAGACCTCTATTGTTACCCACATTTCTCTGTGCAAACTCTAAGAACTCTTTAACCCCTAATTCATATTCTTCTTCTATACGTTTGGCATTTATCCAACTCCGATCCATATCTATAGGTACATGACGTCTTTTCTTAGTGTGAAAATGGAATTACCTCTATTCAGAGGCAACAAACTTAAACAACTCAAACTCTAATCCAAACTCAAATAGTATTGGAACAACAGTAAAACTCCAGGAACAAAACAAACAACACAAAGAACAAACCTAAATCAACAACATAAGAAACAAATCCAAATGAAAAACAAGAGAACCAAATATAATCATTACCCCAAAGCCTTAACTCTTCCGCTAAGAGACTCAGACCAGAGCGACATCAACCAACCTAACAGGGCTTGGATAACACCAATCTCAACCCCACGAGAATAACCAAGTGAAAATCACATATTCAAGCCAAACTAAACGGAAATAATAATACAAAACCCAGAATAAACATGTCTACATACATTAAACCCAGGCAGAATCAGTCCACGACCAAACAAAACAATCCAGAATCAAGGAAAATGCATAAAGGCAATTGACAAAACAAGGATGCAGAAGCCAATAGGATAGACCCACGGCCCTGGTCCGAATCACCTCTGGTTCGCGACGAGATCGAAGGCGCGCAGGTGCAATGAGGAGGAGCTCCTAGAGGGTTTCAGAGAGGTGAAGACGAGGGTGGTGCGTCGCAGTTCCTGGTGCACGGCGAGGGTGGTGCTAAGCGCACCTATTTCAACTGGGGCGATGGAGGTTGATTCGCTGCAGTTTGGTTTGTAGAGTGAGGGACACTAAGATGGGTGAAGGGAAACAGAGGTTAGGGATTCGATTGGGGAAGGAGATGGGAGAGACGGTGGTTTTCGCTACTGCGATGGGGGCAAGGAGTATGCGAAGAAGGTTTTGGTGCGGTGAAGGTGCAGGAGAATGAATTTGGTAATGGCTAGGAGCAAGGGAAGAATTCCAGAGGGAGTCGAGTCTGTAAGGGCTTGGGAGACGCTTTCTAAAATTTTTATTATATTTTTTTAAATAAAAAGACTTTCCACATCGGTTCATGGGGGAACCGATGTAGAAAGTACTTTCTACATCCGTTTTCATCCGAACCGATGTGAAAAGTCTTAAAAAAAATTTCTATATCGATTCTTTAACAACCGATGTAGAAAGTCCGATGTTAAAAGAGTTTTTTGTACTAGTGAAATCTTACTAATATTTCAATTAAGAATGAATTTAAGGGAAAAAATGGAGATAAAAAACAAATAAGATCCCGATATTATAAATAATAAAATAAAAGTGATGTAAAATGATAAAACTTCATATAAAAATAAAGTTAACGATCATAAAGTCACTTTTCTTATTTTTCTGTCTGCTTGTCACTTAAATTAAAATACAACTACCTAGAAAAAATGTTAAAAAGTAATATGTATTAAATCACGTTTATTATTTGTATTGATATAATACTTCATTATTTAATAGAAAATATATAAATTGTTATAAAATAATTAAATTTAGAACTTTTTTTTATATATTATGAATTTTATATTATTTAAGAATTGAGATCACCTAATAGATATTTTTGTAAGAATAAAATTATGAAAAATGAATAATACATAAAATTAAAACACTTTCATTTAATTTTAAATATTTTAAAATATAATTAAAATAATAAATATAATAATAAATAAAAATTAATTAAATATTTTTCTCAAAAATTTAAACTAAAATATTAAATTTATATTGTTAATTTTTAAAAGTTATCGAATAAAGACATTAAATAAACTCGCTGTTTTATATTATATTATTTATATTGATTATACGAGAAATGATTGAAATATAAATACCATGATATTTTTATATTAATTGATGGATTTTTTATATTTAATCGGTGATACAAATGATGTACTGTTCAGATATAAGAATAAAAATGTCCGTATTTTTCTTTTTTATTTTAAAATTTTTATATGTTTTCTTTTTATTAATTATTTTATTCTTTGAATTTTGTTTTGTTTTTTCGAATTAGTATGCTTTTACTATGTGGACGAGTGCATTGTTTTGGTTTTTTTTTTCTTAAATGAAAAATGCAAAAACATTAAAACCATAACAGAAAGGTCAAATTGTAACCTTAAATAAGCAGATAACAGTTCAAACATGGCAAGAAAGTAACATTTTACGGCCAAGCTTGCAGCCTTCAAAGCCTGCACTAAGACAAATAATCACACAAAAATTTGCGCAGAAAGAAAGAAATCTGTGAACTTTCAACCACAAGATACCTTGCCAGCCCCAGATTACCCTTAAAACCACTCATAGATGCCAGCACAACAAGGATAAATAATTCATCTTTTTTTCTTTTGTTTTCTCTCTTTCTCTCACTCAACCTGCATAACCAACTGTTTTCTCTATTCTTATAAAAACCCGAATAAACTCATTACTAAAGAATCTTTCCTTGTTACTAAACATCATTGTGTGGCCTGTTGAACCAACGGTTAAGGAGAAGAAAAGAAAAATTGTGATGGGGCTTTGGGCTGATTCAGAAGAGGATGGTGGAAATGGAGGACAAAATTCATGGAATTTTTTAACCAGGAGGAAAAGGGTGGATTCTTCAGTTGAGAGCAATTCTCAAGGCCAACTTGCCAAGGAGTTAACCGTGCCTCATCTCATGGCAATTGGTAGTTCAACCTTTTTTCCTCGATTCTCTTTTTTCTGGTTTTTATTTTACTTTTCAATCACGTTTTTCATCTGGGTATGTGTACGAGGTTTTAAATTGCACGATCTTTCATACTGTGAGAAATTGGTTCTTTTCGGGAGCCAGACACCTACAAACCTTAAAGTTGCAGCCGAAATCACAGTTTCCAACAGTTTTTTGAAACTTGGGGTGTGGATCCGCTCATGTCTTAGTTTCAAGTTTCAACACATTTCTTTTCACAATACCAGAATTTTCTGTTTTTTTTTTTTTTTTTTTTTTTTTTTGGTTTTTAATTCTGGCTGAGTACTTTTTCACCAAAAATAAAGTATAAATGAACTGTTTTTTCAATAATTTGAATTTTCAGTACAGATGAACTGAATCAATACGCTATTGTTATTTTATTTGGTCATAAACTGCTTCAATATTTTAACCTTTGTGGTGGTTTGACTCAGGTGTTGGTGCAACAATTGGTGCTGGTGTGTATGTTCTGGTTGGAACTGTGGCTAGAGAACACACAGGACCTGCTTTGCCACTCTCTTTTCTGGTGGCTGGATTTGCGGCTGCTCTTTCTGCTCTTTGCTATGCAGAGTTAGCTAGTCGCTGTCCTTCTGCTGGAAGTGCATATCATTACTCATACATATGTGTTGGAGAAGGGTATTCATTAATTCACCTTCTTAGTGTTTTTCTCTTCCTATTTATTTCCTTACGATAATACTGTTTTTTCTGAGATGTTCGGGAGGATTTGGATACTGTACAATGAAATCTCAACCCTTTACTAAAATTAAGAATAAAATTTGAGTACTAAACAAGAAAGGAAGCGTAAGGTTTGTATGTTGGATATTTTCACTTGAAAGAATCCTAATGAAAAGATTCCTTTTCTAGCTAGAGTTGAGATTATCTAAACTCTTGCGACAGATGTTCTTCCATACACAGGATTAGATAGTTTGAGGTTCTATGTTATTTAATTTATGAGGCTGTTAATTAAGTAAGACTCAAAAACATTACATGATTGCTTTGTGTTTGCAGAGTTGCTTGGTTGATTGGTTGGGCCTTGATACTGGAATACACAATTGGTGGAGCTGCAGTTGCTCGTGGCATAACTCCCAATTTGGTATGGTGTTGTTTCAGGTTTTTGAGTGATCTGTGTGTACAGGAATAAGGTTTTTGTTCAGAGACATTAGTTTAAACTAGTGTTTCCTCTTTTCTAAGCCAATTTTTTGATGAATGTTTTCTTTGTAATGGTGTATAAATCATGTGATGCAATTGTTGATACAAAGTGGTTATTGGACTGATTAGGCTGCTCTTATTGGAGGAGAGGAAAATTTGCCCAGCTTTTTATCGCGGCATAGCATTCCTGGGACTGATATTGTTCTCGACCCATGTTCAGCGATCATGGTATTCATTGTAACAGGACTCCTTTGTCTTGGGATCAAAGAGGTAAAATATCTTCCTCTTTTATCCATGATTATTTTTTAAACAAGAAAATCATCTGACTCTATTGAAATACAAAAATATATTTTCTCGAGAGCTAATTTTAGTCAACGGTTGATGTATATGCAGAGCACAATGGTGCAAAGTGTAGTGACAACAGTGAACATATTTGCATTGATTTTTGTGATAGTTGCTGGAGGTTACTTGGGGTTCAAATCTGGATGGGTAGGATATGAGGTTCCCACAGGGTATATTGTAAACAAATAAATCCTTGTGTTTTCAGTTTCCTTTTTCCTTGGTCTATTCCATTTCCTGAATGAATATGAACACATGGGCGTTGATTTGATAGGTACTTTCCCTTTGGGGTGGATGGGATGCTAGCGGGTTCTGCAACAGTCTTCTTTGCATTTATAGGCTTTGATGCAGTTGCCAGCACGGCTGAAGAGGTATAATTTTGTTTTTAGCAGTAATTTGAAAATTGAAATATGTGGATTTTAATCGAATAAAATGAGTACAAAATTGGTTTAATTATTGGAATGAATGTAAAAGAAAAATAATTAATAATGATTTATTATTATAAACAGGTGAAAAATCCTCAAAGAGATTTGCCCCTTGGGATTGGAGGCTCTTTGCTTCTATGTTGTGGATTGTACATGTTGGTATCCATCGTTATAGTGGGTTTAGTGCCTTATTATGCCATCAATGCTGACACCCCCATATCATCAGCATTTGCAGACAATGGAATGCAATGGGCAGCGTACGTAACTTAACGGAAGAATATATATATATATATATATATATATATATATATATATATTTTTTTTTTTTTTTTTTGCAGTTCATTATGATGAATGCGATTGTCTAAGATTTTGGTGGAAGCATATATTTAAAAAATGAAAAATACCTTTTATAACCCATTCGTAAAAATAATAAAAAAGAAAATAAAAATATAAATATTTTATTATTATTATTATTAAAAATATAGATATTTTATTATTATTATTATTATTATTATTATTATTATTATTATTATTATTATTATTATTATTATTATTATTATTATTATCATCATAGTTGCCAAAGTGTCCATATTATATATTTTGTATAATTAATTTTTTTAAATATTGTTTTATTTTTTCTTTTCATTCTTTTATATATATATATATATATTATATTTTTATTATTTTTTAAATATATAAATCATAATAATTATTTTTTTAATTATGATATTTTCATTTTTCTCTCTAATAATAAAAAAAAACGATTGAAAAATATTTTTTATATATATAATTATAGATTATATTAATACAAAATTTATGAAATGAATATTTTTTTATATTAAATTATCCAAACACCCTTAAGGAATTTACGTTAAGAGGGTCAACAATGTTTAATATATAATCTATTTTTATGTAGAGAAAAGAAAAAGAAAAGGACAAAAACTCATTTTTCAACAAATAATGAATTGATAATTAATTAATTATTTTCATTTTTAATCATAAATTCACTAAGTTATAATTAATAGTATCAATTTTTTAAAGTAATTATGTATTCCCATTTTTTAAGATAAAATTAAGAAAGGGTAGTGGTTTCTAATGTCTCACTTTTGCAAATCGTGGTTGCAGATATGTTATAAGTGCTGGAGCTTTCACAGCTTTATGTGCATCTTTAATGGGTGGGATTCTACCTCAGGTAAAACTAACTGTTGATGCTGGAATGCTCTATAGGAAGAAACAAAGTGCAAAGAAAGAAAATGAAAGAAAAAGAAGGAGAAAGACACAAAATAGAATGAAAATATTATTATTTGATTAAGATGTTATCATTTTATAAAATAATAAATAGTTAAATTAAAATTAAATATTTATTTATATAATTATTAATTAATTTTTATTAATAAAATATTTTTTTAATATAATATCTTTAAATTATATATTTTATTTTTTTAATAATATATATTTTGATATATAAATATAAAATATTTTTATTAGAATTTTTTAAAATTAATATTATATTATAAACAAATAAAAAATATATAAATCATTCATTTGATTTTTTATAATCACTTTCATATTTATAATATATTATTAAAATAATAATTAAGTGTGTATATATATATATATATATTAAAATTATACACATAAAAAAATTGTAATTTATTTAAATGGAGAAAAAAATAGGTATGTTATAATTAAAAAGTGATATTTTCTCTGTATTATTTTTGGCTATTTTTTTTATATTAATCATTTTTTACTCTACCCTTTCCTCCAAATGGAGTCTTAAGTTCCTCTAGGAATTTCTTTTTCTTTTCAGATTAACCCTATCTACCATCTTTATCAAAGAGAGTTTTTATTAAAATTAAGCTTATTATTTTTATTTGTGAAATAGTGTCTCTTATCTATAATTCGACATCTTAATTAAAAAATCCAACCTAAATTTTATCTATAATATATTAAGCAGAGTCGTCACACATTTATTTGGTTGGGAAAAAACTGAAAATATCTAAAAAACAAAATGGTGTTTTTAAATAACTTTCAAAGAAAAATTACATGATATAGTTTGAAAAGAAATTACATATATTTTTAAAATCTGAAATAGATTTTGATTTTGTTCTCTATAATTATCATAATGTTGTAAAATGATTTTTTTCCGCTTAGCATTATTTTAACATAAATTTTCATATATAGCATACAGTACTTAATATTTACATGAGTAACACACTTTTATAAAAAAATCAAACATTTCGAGATTTTTTTCTTCGTTAACATCCTATTAAATTTATAATCCAGAAATAACATCATTCTAATAATATTTACTTGACTAGCACAATTTTCTTACACATATAGAATTCGATTCTTAGAGTTTGAATTTCAACCTCACTAATTAATATAATTTTAAAAATAAAATAATATTTATTAATATAATAATTAAATATAAATATATATATTTTATATTAAATATATATAAATATTATATATATATATATATATATATATTCTTTTAAAAAAAATTGTTTATATAATTGTATTATTAATATATTTTTATAAATATAGTAAAAACAAATATATTTTATATATATATATATATATAATATTTAAATATTTATTTATATTTTTATAAATATAATAAAATTTAATAAATATATATTTATATCTTTCTATATAAAAATTGTACATGAATAAATTATATATATTATTTAAATATATTTTTAATATAAAATAATTTTAATAAGTAAAAATAATATTTGTTTATAGAAATATATAAATATTTTTATTATATTTTAATATATTTTTACTATATTTATAAAAATATATTAATAATATAATTATATAATATATTTTTATGTTATTTGTGCTAGTTAGGAAAATATTATTAGAATGATGTTATTTCTGAATTATAAATTTAACAGGATGTTAATGAAAAAAAATCTCAAAATATTTGACTTTTTATAAAAGTGTGTTATTTATGTAAATATTAAATACAGTATGTTATATATGAAAATTTATTTTAAAATAATGCTAAGCGGGAAAAAAATGGTTGTATAATATAACTTTAGATCTATATTGAATGAAAGATTAACTGACTATTCCATTCCTGATACGTGTTTATAACATAATGTTAACCTTTGATACATCTAAACAAAAATTTAAAATCTATCAAATAAATATATTTGTTTATTTTAAAATAAATGTTTGAAATAAAAATAAAAATTTTCAAAATTTGGAAGAATGAAAATAAAACGTTATTTAAAATGATTAAAACTAACAATTACAAATTTTTCAAGAATTGAAAGTAAAGAAAAAATTAAATCAAAACTCACTCGTAAGATAGTAAGTACATATTTATACCTTTTAAAAATAATAATTCTGCATGATCATAAAAATAAATAAAAAGTATTTAAGAATTAAAAGAAAACCGTGAGTGAGTTTTAAGGAAAATGAAGGGGTTATTTTTCAAAGGTGAAATTCACTTTATTTATTTTTAAAATGGATAAATAAATAAAAAGTTGATATGAGTAAGTCATATTTTGAGATAGAACTTTATCTTGAAAAAATCGTGTTCCAAAATACGATTTTACTTTTTCATATAAAAATCGTGTTTCAAAGCATGATTTTATTTTTTTTACACAAAAATCATGTTTAAAAACACGATTGTACTTTTTTTCACACATTTCAAAACGTGACTTTACCTTTTATTACATAGAAGTTTATTCTAAAATACGACTTTGCTTTTTTTTTCTTTTTTTACATAGAAGTCGTACACACACAACCATTTTTTTTATATTTTTGTGAAGTCGTGCTCCAATCCACGACTTTAATAGAAATTATTATTCATTTATTTTAAGTTATCTTTTTAATTGAGGACTTTAGTTAAATGTGATTATATATATATATATAATATATATATATATTATAAAATTATCAATTGATTGATAATTTTAGTTTTGGTGAGAATTTCATGTGAGTTTAAGTTTTATTGAGGAAAGAAGATTCATAATATAATTTTTTAAGATTTTGTGTTGAAGATGACGTTAATCCCTTGTGTGAATTGATTTATGCGTAATTGGTGTTGTCTCTTTCTAGTGAATTCTTCCTCAAAAGACCCAACAATAATATTAGAGTCAATGAGTAGTTCTTGTATCGAAAGTCTTCCTGACGGTAAGTCAAACAAACATGTCCTATTTTGATGAATGTACTAACGTGGAGGGACTCACACTTAAGTGAAAGATTGTGAATAATTCTAGATATAAGTCTAAGTTCAACGTGTAACGACCCTAGAAATCGCTACTATAATGATGTCTTCGCAAAGTAGTAAACAAGTAAATAACAACATCTATTTTACATTATATTACTGTAATTGTAACATATATTGAAATTCCAGTTCACTAACGAACTTTAAAATATAGTAACATAATTTATTTATATATTATACATGTAAAAGTAGCTCCCTCGAAGTTATCCCACTGAACTATCCCTGTTGTCCAAGTAGTCACATCACCATCTCTCAACTCCTGATCTGCTCCCACATAAAAGTGATCATCGCGAGTCCCATCCACATGGAAAAATAGGGATAAGTATTAAATCATTCGATATAATAAAACAAATATAGAAGTAATAATTATATATTATGATCAATTACGAAATTATCAACACACTAAGACACCTTCGGAAGTATACCCTAACTATGTCCGAACTCGGAGGCTATCATCTCGTGGGCACATTGTGATCGGTACCGCAGATACCATTCCGATCACCCTCCACACGAGTAGGATTACCGGCGCCCTTCATCACTCATACTGGAGTACCCCTCCGAGTGCGCCACCGAGTCATCCCCATCGACTTCTCACCACCTGATCTCGTAGTCTACCCGACCCGACCAATCGGTGAAGTCCGGGAACTCATTCGGAATCCTCCGACATAGTTATTACACTAATGTACTCTGTACACCCCGAGTACCATTCAAACATACAAAATTTATTCACATTTGCCGGATTCTGGACCACCTGTCCTCACGGCTCATTCGAGTCAATAAAAATAGTATTTGACTGATTCTGGCACCAACCTTCTGGCTCAGTCTAGCCAATATATAACGTCTCAGGACCGATTCGGGCATCAGCCCTCGGGCTTAGTCCGACCCACACACGTCACAACACTCTACTTTCATTCTCTCTCTATATATATATATATATATATATATATATATATATATATATATATATATATATATATATATATATATTTTTTTTTTTTTCTTAAAATCATTTCCGAAATCATTTTCGAAACTATTTCGAAACTATTTCCGAAACTATTTCCGAAACTATTTTCGAAATCATTTTCGAAATCATTAAATTACTATTTTGCCCTTAATCTTTTCTTAAAATTCCATGTATGTCCCTAAATGACTATTTTACCCTTGGACATTTTTGAAAATTCCATTTATGTCCTCGTGATGTAAAATGACTAGTTTACCCTTGATCTTTTTAAAAAATCCCCACCATATCCCTTTCTTCTTCCTTCGCTCGCTCAAGCGAGTACACCGGTCGCTTGAGCGATACAGAACCCGAGAGTCCCCTTTGTTTGAAGGCTTCGTCGCTCAAGCGAGTACACCGGTCGCTTGAGCGAGACATGACCCGAGAGTCCCAAATTTTCCAGGTGTCCTCGCTCAAGCGATGTATTTTTCGCTTGAGCGACTTTTGCAGATTTTCCAGTTCGCCATTTTCGAAATCCAGATTTCAAATTTCTCAGTTTCAATCACCCAAATTAGTTCCAAATCAAAATTTAACCATAAACATGTTCAATTTAAGTTAAAAACAACAATTTTAGTATATAATTCATCCTTAATTTCAATAATTAAAAAAAAACTTTCAAACGATGAACAAAAATCAGAAATTCTTCAAAATTAGACATTCTTCAAAATTAGACATTCCAATACTTCATATCTCTACTCCTATTCCTTATTCACAGAGTACCCAACAATTCAATTTCGTATATTGAATGAATTAAACTTCCCCTTACTTGGTATGGTATTTCTACCGAAGCTTTCCCACTTAATTCAAGTTCTCTCCCATTTCACCAGATCCTGCACGAGTAGAGTCTCGTTGCTTGAAATTTAGACAATAGAAGAAGAAGGATGAGAGGAAAATTTTTGATTTCCCTCCTCCCCCGCTTCAGTATTCATATATAAGAAATTTTTTT